AGGGAACGAATTTGCAAACAGCGATCACAAAGAAATTAGATTCCAGTTAGACTTTCAGGGCAGACGTAAGGAAAATTCCACTAAAGTACCAGATTTCAGAAGGGCGAACTTTGACAGTTTAAAGAGGCAGCTGAGAGAGGGGATGTCGCGCTTGGCCGTGAACCTGTCAGATGACAACGACCTGATAACGAGATCTGAGATTGCCGAGTTCCACGACAATTTAAATAGTGAGTTACTTAATGCACAAAGGCAGAACATACCATACAAAACTCAGATCAGACAACAATGACCCTAAATGGATAAATAATTATTTAAAAAACATCATTGGCCAAAGGAAGGCTATAGGTAGAAGGATAAATCGTGGCGAAATTCACCTCCGGGACTATTATAGGGTATGGGCGAGTAGGGTTAAAACCGAGATAAGGAAAGCAAAGAGGAATAATGAGGTAAGGATAGCAAGGGAGGCGAAGACAAACCCCAAAGGATTCTACCAAATGTATCAAACTAAAACACGAGAAAAGATTGGACCAATACGGTCAGATACCGGCGAGCTCACTGATAACGACGGGGAAATGAGCAATAATTTGAATAAATATTTTTCAACAGTTTTCACCACCGAAAATTTAAACATGATACCCGAGGCACGGACTCTATTCAGAGATAGTCAAGAAAACAAATTAAGTGAGATAGTAGTGACTAGTAACGATGTTAGTAAGCAAATAGACAAACTAAAGCGTAATAAGTCACCTGGTCCCGATGAGATATTTGCCAGAGTATTAAAGGAATGTAAGGAAGAGCTCAGTATGCCCTTAGCAAAGTTGTTTAACATGTCCTTAAAAACAGGTGTAGTACCAGAATCCTGGAGGATAGCTAATGTAATACCCATTTTCAAGAGCAAGGATAGATCACTATCCTCCAACTACCGCCCAATCAGTTCAACATCAATAGTAGGCAAATTACTGGAAGCAATCATTTCAAACTCTATTCGAAATCACCTGGAGAAGCACGGATTGATCAATGATTCCCAGCATGGCTTCACAAGCGGACGTTCTTGCCTAATTAATCTATTAACATTCTTTTCATCAGTTTTCGAATCGGTGGACGAGGGGCACAATTATGATGTGGTATATCTCGACTTTAGCAAAGCCTTCGACAGAGTCCCCCACGAAAGACTAATTAGAAAGGTAGAAGCTCATGGCATCAAAGGTGACATCCCTAAATGGATTAGGGCATGGTTACAGGACAGGAAACAGCGAGTGAGCATTAACGGCACTAAGTCCCATTGGAGCAACGTCGCAAGTGGAGTTCCCCAAGGCTCAGTACTTGGACCATTATTGTTTATTATATACATAAACGACATAGATATCGGCATAGACAGCAACATAAGTAAATTTGCTGATGACACTAAAATAGGACGTGTTATCAAATCTGACGAGGACTCGGCAAAACTACAGGAAGATCTAAACAAATTTTTCGAATGGTCTGAAAATGGCAGATGAAATTCAACGCTGACAAAATGTAAGTACTCAGTATAGGAGATGTAAACAGGGAAACCAGATACCAGATGAACAACGATGCCATAGAGAAATCCGACTAGAGAGATTTAGGAGTACGATAAGTAGGAAATCTTTTGCCAAGTAAACAATGTGTTTTATCAGAACAAGGCTAATAAAGTACTTGGGTTCATAAAGGAGTGTTAGTTACAAGACTAGCGAGGTCATCCTAAACTGTATCTTGCTCTTTGTGAGACCACACCTGATCATTTGTGCTCAGTTCTGGTCACCGTATTACAGAATGGATATAGAATCCTTGGAAAGAATTCAGAGGAAAATGACAAGACTAATCCCGGGCATTAGGAACCTTGAGTATAGAGACAGGTTAAAGCATCTAAATTTGCACTCCCTCGAGAGACGTAGAGCGAGGGGCGACCTGATAGAGGTGTATATGTGGAAGGCAGGGCTAAACAAAGGGGACATTACAAAGGTACTCAAACTATCCAACCAGGAGCGAACTCGTAACAATGGTTTTAAATTAGACAAATTTAGATTTAGGCTTGAAATAGGTAAACACTGGTTTGGAAACAGAGTAGTGGATGAATGAAACAAGTTACCAAATATCATCATTAACTCGAATAGGCTGAATTGCTTCAAACATAGGTTGGATGCTCATATGAGCAATAGGGGTTGGGTGTAAACGGGACTGCCCAGTATGGGCCAATAGGCCCGCTGCAGTTTCTCCATTCTATGTTCTTATGTTCTTATAAGAATATCTAATATTACTATTTCCCACAAAAATTTCTCACACATTCCTTTACAACTAAAAACCTGGAACGTCAATGTGGCATTTGAAAACTCATGCACTGTTAAACAAATGTTAATCAAGAACTCCCCCAACAACACAATTGGTTGCATTTATAAAGTTCCTTGCAAGGAATGTAATATGTTTTACTTAGGCCAGACAGGTAAAGATCTTGTAACCAGACTTAAACAACATAAATATAGTGTTAGGACAGGCCAGGAATCCAATGCTCTGTTTGTTCATTTGAGGGATAACAAGCATTGCATTGACTGGGATAATGCCTCCTCAATATTACCTTGTAATTCAATTGATAGTAGGAACATCATAGAATCTAGTCTCATTAAACATACTGAAGCATTCAACATGAATTTGAGTAATGGCATGTACAAACTGGACAATTTTGTAATTAAGAAGATTTGTAACCAGGTGAGAAGGTTGGGTCACCTTACCCTCTGACCTGACTACCGACCGTTGCCGTGCTATTTAAAGATTAGTAGGGTCATTACCTAATACCTGACCATTGTGGACCTGGTCTCACCACCCTCTGTATATATACACCTTGTTTTGTATTTCTCTTTAGTCTGTACTCACCCCTGAAGATGTGAATTACACGAAAGCGCTTGGGAACTTCGTGTTTTTTTCTTTCCTTGTGGTTATCAACATATACCTAGATCACGCGCACCTACAGTGATTTACTTGCATATATATATATATATATATATATATATATATATATATATATATATATATATATATATATATATATATATATATATATATATATATATATATATATACAAAAGCGGTGTATCCAAAACATCCTTTAATAATATAATAAAGTTATTTCTCACAGCAGTATACTACTTACAATGTTCAGACATTGTGCATGAAGACAGATGAACCCGACCTTTCTGCTACGCGAGCAAGCTCCTGGGTTGTCTCGGCACGGGGTGGGTACTTGGGCAGTGTGAGGAAGGCGGTGAGGTTGCCACGATAGGTAGACCCGATTATAAGAGCGAACATCAACCAGGAAGCCACCAGTACACGGCTGGAGATGACTGTGGGCAGCCGTCGTGGCAAGTTCTGTCCTAACAGCATCCCTGTAACATCCTGCACCACCGTTCCTGTGGCTATCCTGTCCCCACCATCCTTCCATTCACCAACACGAATAATCTGCAATAATAACAAGTTTCAGTCATAACATCAATATTACCCTCATTTCACTACATTTGGAATTATTTGGTCCTCAGTAACTGCCAGTTTGGTTCCCGTTCATTTATTGGTCTATTGATGTACACCAGATTGTACTGGTGACCTGTGGTTTGGTTCACAGCAGTGTTGCCTGTCAAGGGTGTGTGTTCTGAAGTATAATTTTATGCATTGCATTGCCCTTCATAGGACATACTTTTACGCAGTAAGGATTGGGGACATATATGTGAATCAATTCGTGGTTCATGTTACGGGGTAATGGATAACTACTGATTGACAGACTATTTGGTCTTCTTGGGTTCCCTATTGACAATGACTTATACAGCTTGCTAACTAAAGGTGTGATTATATTGGCTGCAATTTTTGTGCCTAAATCAAATTCTTGTCAAGTGGCCTTTGGACGGACCATCTTTGAACACAATGGGCCAAAACATTAATCAAGAGTCAGATGAATAGCGACATTTTCTATTGATGTCATCTTTTAATGAGGAGGTACAATACAGTACAGTGTGCTCCTTGAAGGGGTGTCGAGGTGAAGTGGTACCTAGAAAGAATTATCCCAATAATAAGAGGATACTCAACATTCATGTGTCAAGTTACTTAAAATTATATAAATTTTTTGTAACAGCAACATATATCTAGGATTTTCGTATCCTAAACTTATTTTTATTCCAATCCATTTGTCAAGTAATTCTGCATCACCTTTATGGAATGACAAAAAAAAAATTACAAAACCACATTCATAAGTTATAATGTATGACATCCCACACAGTGCAGAGTAATTTCTGTGTATCATTCATAACGACACATGAATATATGGAATGTTTTATTAGTATTACGTAACTCACCAGCAGCAGGATCACAGGGGTGAGCAGCAGCGCCAGCAGGACGGCCGCCCACACCAGGTCAGTGAGTGGGTAGTAGAGCGACTGCCACTGTGGCTTGATACCCGGCCGGGCCATACTGAAGTCCAGGGATGCATATTCGTACACCCATGAGTAGTCGTAGCGCTCAAGGCGTCCAGGCAGCATGATGTGGAACACAGTTGCCATGAAAGACACCCGATCCACTACACGCTGTGTAACCTGCAACCACACTATTGTCAATGGCATCGTAGAGCAACTTCCATCTACTGTATAATTATATATAGTTTATTTTTCATCTCAGTCTATAATGTCCGCTGGGGTTGTCGTGTGAGTTTTGATGTAGCTTAGTGGATATGATGTGTAATGTGGATTGGGATCTGACGTGATTTATTTATACGAGTTCGTGGTGTCATACGGTCCAGGAGTGAGGTGCTTGGCGTGGGGTCAAGCGGGAAAGAGAGCACTAATACCTAGGTTAAAATGCAGTTTCAGGTTGCGGGTGTTATTTTGCGGTGAAATGGCATAATGTAGTGTGGCAGGTAGTGACGTGCTGGTTTAGTGCCATTTCTTACTCACCTCTGCCCACGAGGTGGTGGGCACGACATTAATGGTAAAGTTGAGGGAGTCCGCAATTGATTTTAACAAGAAATAGTCGGTGCCAGAGTACTGTTTTGCACCATCAGATCCCTTCAGTTCGCCCCAGTATGGCGCGAATGGCAGGGCAGTCACGTTCACCTTTGCACCATTGAAGCTGAAGGCAATAACGTTCTTATTTAAATACTATTACCATTTGGGAGCGTCATCTATTCGTGACACGATATAAAACTTCAATTATTCTTATACAAAAAAGACAATCAGCCATTACTTTCCTAATGATAAAAATTTTATGTGTTAAAAGAAGTGCCATCAATCATGGGCTGCTCCTAGTTATTATGTCATGATGGCTCCTTCAGGATACATGCAGCGTACTAGACTGCGCATGAATGAGACGTGGAGGGGTAATACTGGGTGGGCATCACGAGCACCTTAGTCTCATGTGATGAAAGACAGACAACCTTTGGTATGGAGGGAGTCGCTTGTCTATGACAATTGAGTAGTGGTAATATTGTTAAGGTTATATCTACTAGGATAACACTGTATCAAGTGTCTGATGTTTGATGCCTTACAATAATTATTAAAAATTTAAGAGGATGCATTTTTAGTTATGAAATAGTTTTTCATTATTATGCATATTCAATATGTATTTATTCTTACCTTAAACAAAGTAATTGAAAAATGAAACAACAGACAATGAATTAATATAATCTTTACACAACAACAACTGGAAATACCCATAATGATAAACTGAAAAATCACCAGTGACACACCATGACATACTAAGTATAATCTCAGGAAAATTTATCTTGAGAGACTCTTGGGTTTCATGTACACTAGGTGATAAACAGTGAGATGCTTTGGTCGATTTTAAATCTTTATTGGTACTGAAGACACTTGAATTGTGCATGTGATTTAAACATGAAATTCCGGCAACACCTAAGACCAGTATGAAATGACTTTCAAGACAGTAATGTATTTTACTCGGGAAAATTATTTACATATTATTAGGAGATCTACGTAATTAGGTGATTGCCCGTTTTAGGCTCCAGGGAGAGGTGAAATCATATAACAGTACTTCTTACGGGTAGCTTGTATCGTCTTTTTCAGGGGCGATCACAGCAAGAGACTGGTGGGAATATTACTTTGAGCTTCTGTCTTATGAGATGATATCTGAGCTAAACTTATCCCTTTCCAATGATAATTAACTGTATCCCTCTCAGAGATCGGTGTGTGGTGTGTTGATAGATTTGTAATGTTTTAATTTGGGAATCGAGAAATTTTCGACATTTTAAGTATAATTTGATACAAATTGGTAGGAAATGGTATACTTTAGTAGGTATTACTGAAGTCTTCGGCAATAATATTGATCTTCTTTGCAGTTATTATTAAGTAAAATATACGTGAGCATAACTTATAATTCTTTATCATTAAGATTAATCCTTTTGATAACATTAAAAAAGGAAAACCACAGCGACGTACGTGCACATATGCAAGCTTCATTGATTACTGCATAATTACTTTGAAAATTTAGGCGGGAAGAGTGAATGTCCCTCTCTTACGACGAGGCCGCGTTGTGGTGTCCAGGAAGCAACTCTCACCACCTGAGCTCGCTCTGGGGTGTATGGCAGGTGGGTGTACACGCTGACCCTGTCCATGGTGGAGGTAAACATTATATTACTGATCAGCAACTTTCCCAATCTGCAGAGTTTTAATTCAAAATTTACAAGTACAAAGCCCATTGAATTATTATACAATACATGTACAATTGTGCAGCATAGTCCATCCAATTCCTCACCTTCTATTGGTACACACGATAATACAGTACTTAGAAATACTGTAATACATTCACATAAGAAACATGTACTCAAATGTTGCATAAGACACATAGTGCTAAGAAGTGCGACCTAACTGAGCCACGAATTAATTTAATTATTTACCAGTATATGTTTATTTGAATATTTTCTAGGTTTACTTAACGCCTGAAGTGAAAATAGTAGTTAGAAGAATCATTTAAGCGATATTAGGGGTATATATATATATATATATATATATATATATATATATATATATATATATATATATATATATATATATATATATACGCTGTAGATGTCGTGTTTGTGAAAGCCTTATCAAATTCACCCTTAGAACAGAAAAATTTTAGTGAAAAAAAAAGCTTTGTGTTACAGGGTGATGCGCCAGCCATGTATTTGGAAGCTGACAATGTCTGGAAATAACAATGTAGAAATGTAGATGCACTAAAAAGAAAGGGTATGCAAACGGGTTTTTGAGTGTCCCTAATGACAGATATAAAGGCTATATTATTCTCTAAACCTTTACTCTACAAAAGGGCATATAATACAATTAAAACTCTTAGGTTGTAAAAGGGCATATCAAGGTGAAGCGATGCCCTTTGAAAAAGCTCTGCACTGATCTTCCTCACATTACCGTTGTATGCCGCTTATTCAATGAGACATACACTATGACCAACACAGTCTTCACACGTCTCTCAGTTATATCCTGGATGTTGTTAATAGTAGTAACATGAATACTCAAGGTGTTATCACCATAAATAACCGAGTATGATACGGTGCAAGAATCCCGACCATTGGTGCACAGTCGCGACGTTACGCTCCCATTTTGCAATCAATAGTCCTTTTCCCACAAAGAAGGGTCATGACTTCTCTTTCTAGCATGCCCACGCCATTCACGAACACTGTTACTCATTGATGAACTCGTTGTTACTTGAAATTTTTTTTTTTTCCCAAAGCAAGGAAGTGGTCCCTCTTTCCCTTGGCAGACTCAGTGACACTCAGCATGGTGCTGATTGATAGTGAAAAAGAAGTCAAGAGTGTAACCCGGCGCTATTTGGCTATGTCGCCACATTCGAAACCCAAGGTGTTTTAAATAATTCCTTATTCCATATTTTTCTTTCCCTTCTTAATTAATTTTATTCCCTCCTCCTCATGTTGAAGAGTTACTCTGGATAGCCATGATCATTAGGAATGAATGTTACATGTTAAGTCATTAAATTACCAACATCATACTAACACCTTCTCTTCGCCACACATCGTCTTGATTATATTCTGGTTAGATGACCCAACTAGCACATGTAATTAAGAAAAAATATTTTAAATCCAAAGTAACGTTTTTCAGCCCATTAATTTACAAAGTAGATTAGGAGAAACAATGTGAAGTTTTGTTAAAATTCTTGATGGGATGGAAGTGGTGTCTGGCGACTTTAATGAGCAGTTTTGCCATATGTCGCAATAAAACTAATTGTATTCTAATAAATACTATTTAAAATTTTTGGTAATTTAAAGGAACATTTATGGTTATTGATGTTTCGGTACACACTCACTGTTATATTGCAAACATTTAACAAACAATGAACCGAAGAGTTTGTTGACCAAACTGGAGTGGTCCACTGAAGAATTGGCGAGGGCCAAGTTAGAAATTGAGAGGGCCACGTTGGAGAACCTGAAATTAAGGAAAGAGCTGGCGAAGTTAAAAGGAGAGGCTGGACGAGTAAAGCCAGTGTCTGACGAAAAATCAAACGAGTGGAAAGTCGTGAGTAGTGGCAGGACCAAGCTGGTGGTCAAGAAGCACTCAAAGGATACGACAACAACGACAACAACAGCTAAGTGTACCAACCCGTTCAGTCCCTTGATAGACGAATTGGACGTTAGTACAGTCAGGGGCAGGGATGACAAGGAAGGTATAAAAACTTTAATTGTTGGTGACTCACAGGTAAGGTACATGGACAGGGCCTTTTGTGGTAAAAACAAAAATAGGATGAGGGTGTGTTTGCCAGGAGCTGGGGTGGGGGATATAGTTGACAGGATGGACAATATCTTGTCTGGTAATGGGAACAAACCCATTATCTGCCTCAGTGCAGGAGGCAATGATATTGGCCGGTGTAGGAGCGAGGAACTTCTTGATAAGTTCAAGGCAGCCATAGATCGTATTAGGACTAAGGGAGGGATCCCTATCATATGCGGTGTCCTGCCTAGAAGGAGAGTTGGCAGTGAATGGTTGTCAAGGGCAGTTGGTGTTAACGACCGTCTTGACAGATATTGCAAGTCAATATCAGTCCCATTCATTGACAACTGGGACAACTTCTATGGCAGAAGGGACCTTTATGCTAGGGATGGGGTGCACCTGTCTAGGGATGGAGTAGCAACCCTGGCTGGGGCTCTAGAGGGGGCAGTTCAAAAGATATCGAAGTCTTTAAACTGCTAAGAGAACATAGGAGCACGGGGGTGGAGGAGACTGCAGTGGGAGCGGGTAAACAAGGCGAAAGATTACAGGGAAGTAGTGTTAGGAATGATGACAAAACTAAATTAGACAGGGAGTTTAAAACTAAACGCGGTAAGGGAAGGACTCAGAACACGACTAACTTAAATGTATACTACGCGAACAGTAGAAGTATGAGAAACAAAATGGATGATATTAAGGCCTTGGTATGTACCGAAGAAATCGATATAATTGCATTCACTGAAACATGGATCAACCTAGACACACGTGAATTACCAGTCGAATACCAAATTGCGGGTTACAAACTGTTCCATACCGATAGGCAGACCAGGAAAGGAGGCGGAGTAGCAATCTATGTTAGGGATAATCTGAAGTGTGAAATAAATAAGGAAATAAAAACTGAGAGGAATACAGAAACAATTTGGATAGAATTAAGCGACGGTCGGGAAAAATTAATCACAGGGGTAATATATAGACCCCCCAATCTTGATAGCGTCAATGAGCGACTTATCTGGGATGAAATGCGCAGGGCTTCCATACACAACAAAGTCTGTATAGTAGGCGACTTTAACCTTGGCCAAATAGATTGGACTGTCCTTACGGGTAACTCAGAATCAGAGGATTTTCTCGAGACGATCCAGGACTGTTTCCTAAGTCAACATATAACCGAACCCACACGGGGTAATAATATACTGGATTTAGTTCTGACGAACAGAGAAAACCTCATTAGCAATGTCGAGGTAGGGAACGAACTTGCAAACAGCGATCACAAAGAAATTCGATTCCAGTTAGATTTTCAGGGCAGACGTAAGGAAAATTCCACTAAAGTACCAGATTTCAGAAGGGCAAACTTTGACAGTTTAAAGAGGCAGCTGAGAGAGGGGGTGTCGCGCTTGGCCGTGAACCTGACAGATGACACCGACCTGATAACGAGATCTGAGATTGCCGAGTTCCACGAGAATTTAAATAGTGAGTTACTTAATGCACAAAGGCAGAACATACCATACAAAAAACTCAGATCAGACAACAATGACCCTAAATGGATAAATAATTATTTAAAGAACATCATTGGCCAAAGGAAGGCTATAGGTAGAAGGATAAATCGTGGCGAAATTCACCTCCGGGACTATTATAGGGTATTGGCGAGTAGAGTTAAAACCGAGATAAGGAAAGCAAAGAGGAATAATGAGGTAAGGATAGCAAGGGAGGCGAAGACAAACCCCAAAGGATTCTACCAAATGTATCAAACTAAAACACGAGAAAAGATTGGACCAATACTGTCAGACTCCGGCGAGCTCACTGATAACGACGGAGAAATGAGCAATAATTTGAATAAATATTTTTCAACAGTTTTCACCACCGAAAATCTAAACATGATACCCGAGGCACCGACTCTATTCAGAGATAGTGAAGAAAACAAATTAAGTGAGATAGTAGTGACTAGTAACGATGTTAGTAAGCAAATAGACAAACTAAAGCCTAATAAGTCACCTGGTCCCGATGAGATATTTGCCAGAGTATTAAAGGAATGTAAGGAAGAGCTTAGTATGCCCTTAGCAAAGTTGTTTAACATGTCCTTAAAAACAGGTGTAGTACCAGAATCCTGGAGGATAGCGAATGTAATACCGATTTTCAAGAAGGGATAGATCACTATCCTCTAACTACCGCCCAATCAGTCTAACATCAATAGTAGGCAAATTACTGGAAGCAATCATTTCAAACTCTATTCGAAATCACCTGGAGAAGCACGATTGATCAATGATTCCCAGCATGGCTTCACAAGCGGACGTTCTTGCCTAACTAATCTATTAACATTCTTTTCATCAGTTTTCGAATCGGTGGACGAGGGGCACAATTATGATGTGGTATATCTCGACTTTAGCAAAGCCTTCGACAGAGTCCCCCACGAAAGACTAATTAGAAAGGTAGAAGCACATGGCATCAAAGGTGACATCCTTAAATGGATTAGGGCGTGGTTACAGGACAGGAAACAGCCAGTGAGCATTAACGGCACTAAGTCCCATTGGAGCAACGTCACAAGTGGTGTTCCCCAAGGCTCAGTACTTGGACCATTATTGTTTATTATATACATAAACGACATAGATATCGGCATAGACAGCAACATAAGTAAATTTGCTGATGACACTAAAATAGGGCGTGTTATCAAATCTGACGAGGACTCGGCAAAACTACAGGAAGATCTAAACAAATTTTTCGAATGGTCTGAAAAATGGCAGATGAAATTCAACGTCGACAAATGTAAAGTACTCAGTATAGGAGATGTAAACAGGAAAACCAGATACCAGATGAACAACGATGCCATAGAGAAATCCGACTGCGAGAGAGATTTAGGAGTAATGATAAGTAAGGAACATAAGCCAGAAGTAAACAATGTGTTTTTACTGTTAACAAGGCTAATAAAGTACTTGGAGTTCATACAAAGGAGTGTTAGTTACAAGACTAGCGAGGTCATCCTAAAACTGTATCTTGCTCTTGAGACCACACCTGGACTACGCAGTTCAGTTCTGATCACCGTATTACAGAATGGATATAGAATCCTTGGAAAGAATTCAGAGGAGAATGACAAGACTAATCCCGGGCATTAGGAACCTTGAATATAGAGACAGGCTAAAGCATCTTAATTTGCACTCCCTCGAGAGACGTAGAGCGAGGGGCGACCTGATAGAGGTGTATAAGTGGAAGGCAGGGCTAAACAAAGGGGACATTACAAAGGTACTCAAACTATCCAACCAGGTGCGAACTCGTAACAATGGTTTTAATTAGACAAATTTGGAATTTAGGCGTGAAATAGGTAAACACTTTGGTTTGGAAACAGAGTAGTGGATGAATGGAACAAGTTACCAAATATCATCATTAACTCGAATACCCTGAATTGCTTCAAACATAGGTTGGATGCTCATATGAGCAATAGGGGTTGGGTGTAAACGGGACTGCCCAGTATGGGCCAATAGGCCCGCTGCAGTTTCCTCCATTCTTATGTTCTTATGTAATTCCCTACCATGTCTATAAAGAGGGTTAATTACATATCATGATGAATTTTGCAATAATTATACACTATTAGGCCTAAAATACCCTTTTTATGCCATTGTAAGGGCAGAAAACGATCCTCCGGCTAGTTACCGCTGCTAACTCGCTCGTTTGCTGGTGCAGACGACACTTGGGGTGGTTGGACGGAGGTGATAACGGCAGCAACCCTCTCCGCCGCGGGCAGATTCAACCCAGCCGCCATACCGTCAGTATCTAGCTACCCTGCTGTCCGTCAAATTCTGGCTGTGATCTCATCATAGGTCCTGGACTCGTGGGCTGTGTTCCCAGACCTTCACCTATCAACTGCCAACTCTCTGGTCATCTACCACTACCGCATACCACGACCATCAGTTCATCACATTCCGTCGGTGCCCCGGTGTTCTCCTGCCTTTTCAAGACGTTGCTGAGTGTGGAGCGAAGTGGACGCTTCCCTGCCCTGAGTGTGCATCACCGCGTTCCAGAACCTTCCCCAGGGCCACTGCCGTAGGAAATATTTGTTCATTGTTTGATTCCATTAATTGCTGACTCCCCTTTATTGTTCGATTCTATTATTTGTTTGATTCCTTTAAGTGTTTGCTTCCTTTAATTGTTTGACTCCCGTAATTATTTGATGTTTGTTGAGTGGTGTCAGAGTTTTGTTATATTTTTATAGTAAAGAGATGCCAATCTCTAACGGTTGTTTGTTATTCCTCGGAAAACCATGGTCCTTGACTTGCCTATATTAAGATCCTGATTAGCCTGGTAAGGGATTTCTATCCCTAAGTCCCAGGCCTTTACAACCATAAACATTTTACAGCGTGGGTGTCGTGTCCTCCAGGTTGAACGAGATGGTGTTCATTGTGTATATTACCTGAGGTTGGGTGGTGTGTCCTCCAAGTTGAACAAGATGGTGTTCATTGTGTATATTACCTGAGGTTGGGTGGTGTGTCCTCCAGGTTGAGCAAGATGGTGTTCATCATGGAGAAGGTCCAGTGGGAGGACAGGAGGGCGTGGAGCTGTGGGAGTGGGAGGCTGGTGACCACCAGCAGCTTGGTGGCCCACACCAGGAGGCGGCCCTTGAGGGACCACTCGGCGAAGGTGTTGAGGAAGACCGGGTCGTGACTCACCACCACCACCCGCACACACCGAGACTCCATCCTCACCTGTTACAAAACCGGGACAAGAACCACAACCTTAATCATTTTGGCTTTAAATTATGATTATTAAGGTTCTGTGGCGGTTAGAAGGAATTAGGACTGCAAAGGAGACTTTTGTGCCAATTTTTGGATATCAGATGATTTATAACTGATCGCGCCAAACAGTTATGGCACACTAAAGGTTCTCAGTTCACTGTCAGCTTTTAGATAGTTATTTAGTATATTTCTCACTGCCACATTAATTATGGTCAGAATTATATCTGTG